TTGTATCTTCTCAACAATTTCTATTTCCACTTTATTAGTCAGAACTAGTAACTAGTTTAGAAGCATGGTCACATTTAGCTTCAAGGACAGTGGAGACATGCAGTTTAAGAGCACATTGACATTCTGAATAGAGTGATCTGTGGGCATGAAAGGAGGTTAAGGTCACTATTAGAAGTCTGTTAAACCTAGTATGTCTTATTTACTTTTTTAGTTGTAGATGGACACAATACTTTTGTTTTATTTATTTATATGTGGTGCTGAGAATTGAACCCAGTGCCTCACATATGCTAGGCAAGTGCTCTGATCCACACCCCCAGCCCTAGTATGTCTTTTTTATTTTTATTTTTGGCCAGGTATACGTTCATTTGCTATAATACCATTAAGATGGGGGGAGGAAATGGGGATTGAAGCCAGGGTCTCACACTTGCCAGGTGTGTCTTCTACCAAGTGAGCTATATCCCCAGCCTGAGAATAAGTCCATATTCACAAATATTATTTGCAAGTAATTTCTCTCTCAAATGTCTATTTGATGGCAGTTTGAAAACTGTTGAAATGATCTCTCCTTGGCTTCCCCCACACACACACACAAACACCCATACAATTATTAACTATTCCTGAAGCTTCTAGAACCTTTGCCTTTACTGTGCTGGGGAGCAATAGAGGGACTTACTAGATGTATAAGCCAGTGGTGGAATTATTGGTTTACTGGTGACAGATCCAGGACTTCTTACTGCTCATAAATGAAAGCTTCATTCCTGTCAAGTTTCAATCATCTGAAAAGTTTTTCATTTAAGAACATTTATCCTTAACTCTGTAACACTTCTGCCTTCTATGTGCTGAGGCCACTAGATAAGATGGCAAACTTAAACCTAAGCCTAGTTGGTAGTTACCTGAATTTGCACTTTCTCTTAGGAGCTTGTTCTTATTTGGTACACCAATGACAAAATACACTTTCACATGTGCTAGGCAAGCACTCTACCACTGTTACAACCCCAAAATTTTGAGACTGGATTCTGAATAATGAGTAGAACACCACAAATACTGGGCATTCAGAAATCAACAGCTTCCTCCCCTCTGGGAGCAGTTCAATTCCCTTCTCAAATAAACAGCACAAAATGGAGAGTGTTTCAGAAATATTTACAGTGCTGAATCCTCACAGTTTTCACAGATAGCCCTAATCTGCCAGGATCCTGCTCTTTCCAMTCAATGCTCATTCATATAAAGAATGTGCCGAGGTTGAAGGAAAGTGTCTCTGTGAAAGCAACTGGATTTGATTTTCACCACCCTGATTCTACAGCTATACACAAACATCTCAGTTGTACCACTTCTGAAAGCCCCTGGCTTGACACACCACCTCAATGTTTTAAGCTCATCATTTTCCATGTTATTGTTGTTTGAAAATTTTCAGCAGCAGCAACTTCTCATTTCCCCCAGAGCACAGAATTATATGTAAGCATGATTCTAACAGTTAGCTTCCTTACTTTATACCATGTGCCAAGTTCCTGCCACAGAACATGAAAGCCTTCCCTCCTACTACATGAAACCACAATTCCCTACTGTCCACAAAGCCTTTCAAGCTTCTGCCTAAACTTCACTCTCTGGCACCAATTCCTGAAGCAGTCTGAGTTATTATGCAATAAAACACACACATTCATGGTTAACTTGCCTAGTGTATTAAAAGGATACTAAATAATTCAACTTAAACACAAGTGATTAGGTAAGAAAATGACACTTATTAAAACTGTTCTGGCAAATCTATACAGAAGAAACTAATTAACAATCACATCAAGATGCTACCACAGAACAAAAGCTCAGGTTGCTTTTCTGTTCTTGAGAATTTTACTGAAAATATGGAATGTTTCAGCAAACCTTAGTTATCATGTAGGGCACTCTTAATGGTGGTCACATCATCATGACTCCTACACTGTGAGGGTTACTTCTCTTAAAAGAAATCAAGATGGGGCCTGGAGTTGGGGTTCAGTGGTGGAGCACTTGTCTGGCATGTGTGAGGCACTGGATCCTAGCACCACATAAAAATAAATAAAGGCAATAAGTCCATATACAACTAAAAAACAAGAAAAGAAATCAAGATGCTCTAGCCAGCAACCAGGCTATACCAACCCATGGGATATGCATCATATTGATTTCCATAACTAACAAGTTAACTACAAGGACTGCTTACTAAGGGTGAAAATAACAGGAAGTATTTGTGATGTTGCTAAAAATTCATTTTTATTAGCCATAGTTATCCAAAAACCAAGTTTTATTTACTCAGAAACAAAGAAACATGTTGGTCTAGAGGGTAGGAACTCTGGTAAGCAATCCTGTATATGCTATCTGTTTCACACATGGCATTTCTAAGTCAAACATCCAACTATACAAAAGCCACATGAAGTAACACAGGAAGATATTTAAATAATTTCTGTAGGCCTTAGGATGTATTTCTTAGTGAAATTCTGATTATAACATTTATTTACACACTAAAAAATTGTATTTGTTTACCATTTAAAGTTGAATATTTCCTCCCATCTTTTCATAAAACTTGGATCATCTACAAAATAATTTCCCTTAAAATTATTTCTAAAGGAGGGGCTGGGACTGTGGCTCAATGGTGGAGCACCTGCCTCACATGTGAGGCACTAGGTTCAATCCTTAGCACCACATAAAAATAAATAAAGATATTGTGACCATCTACAATATCTTTTTAGTTAAAAATATATTTTAAAAAAATATTTCTAAAGGAAATTTTTCCAGATTAAATGAAATAACAGGCATTTTAGAATGAACATTCGGATACCTGATGAGGTGAACCTTACTGCTGAGGCTTTCCCTCATGTGATACATTCAGAAATCTTCACTCCTACATCATCATCATCATCATCATCATCACTAGAAGCTGGCCATTTCTAGATGAAGAAACCATAATGGGGCTGGGGATGTGGCTCAGCAGTAGAGCACTCGCCTAGCACATGCAAGCCCCTGGGTTCGATCCTCAGTACCACATAACAATAAATAAAATAAAGATATCATGTCCAACTACAAGTAAAAAATAAATATTTTTTTTTAAAAAAGAAACCATAATGTATAGCATGGTCCTCTAAGGTATGGGCCCCTGCTCCTACATTTGTAATTTTGATAGTTCTGCCATTCACTGGTTCTAATATTTTTCTCTTTAAAATCCCAATGACTAATAAATAATAAATGTCAGCAGAGTCCATTCCACATTCATTTTCTTCACAAAACTTCCTCCATGAACTTTACCATGGACTAAGACAAACTGCCAGTACTCATCTCACTCATGGGAAACTTGTGGTTTCCCACAAGTATAGATTGAAGCAAGGTACAGTGGCAAGAACCCATAGTCCCCACTACTAGAGAGAATGAGGCAGGAGGRTCACTTGAGCCCAGATTCTTGAAACCAGCCTGGTCAATAGAGTAAGACCTCTTTCAAAAAATAAATAAATAGGTAAAATAAAAGATCTGCTGCTGAAAACATTCAGAGGGTTTGCTGAATTTTTAGCATCCTGTGTGTACTTCCTAGTATTTTGGAGCATAAAGAACAGCTTTTGGAGGGCTGGGATTGTGGCTCAGCGGTAGAGTGTGAGGCACTGGGTTTGATTCTCGGCACCACATACAAATAAGTAAATTTTTTCATCAACAACTAATAAAAATATTTTTAAAAAAGAACAGCTTTTTGTAATTACTATGTGGATTCCTGGCATATGCCAACCATTGAAAACATTTCTGTTTAATATGAGTTTTCTGGCATACAATGAGATGACTCAAATTGAGTTTCTCTTTTATATGATTTTGTTGCTATTCCCTGTGAATTAACTTTTGAGAGAAATTTTCTGATATGAAATGCATCAATATGTTTCTCATCTGCATGAGGTCTCTGATGCATAATAAGTGTGACTTCCAACAAAAGGCTTTCCCACACTCAGAGCATTTGCAAGGTTTCTCTCCTGTATGTGTCTTCTGGTGTGCACTGAGAATTGACTTCTGAGAGAAGGTCTTTCCACATTCAGTGCATCCATAGGGCTTCTCTCCTGAGTGAGTTCTCTGCTGTACAATAAGCTGAGATTGCCTAATGAAGGCTTTATCACACTCGCTACACTCATAGGGTTTCTCTCTTATGTGCATTCTCTGATGTATGACAACCTATAATTTCCCACTGAAGAACTTCTTACACTGATTGCATTTATAAGGGTTTTGCCCTACATGAGTTCACTCATGTACAAGGAGTAGTGACTTCCAAATGAAGGCTTTCCCACATTCACTACATGCATATGGTTTCTTTCCTGAATGAGTCTGCATATGTATAATGAGGTATGACCTGCTGTTGAAGGCTTTCCCACATTTGCTACATACATAGGGTTTTTCGCCTGCTTGAGTTTGCTGATGTGCAATGAGCTGGTCTTTCCTATTAAAAGTTTTCCCACATTCCCTGCATTCAAAGGTTTTTTTTCCGGTATGAATTCTATGATGCAAAATTAACCGTGAATGGAAACTAAAGGACTTCCCACATTCAGTGCAGGCATGTGGCGTCTCTCCTGTGTGTGTCTGCATGTGTAAAATGAGGTAGGACTTACTCCTGAAAGCCTTGCTACATTCATTGCACACATAAGGTTTCACTCCTGTGTGACTTCTCTGATGCACAATGAGCTGTGACTTCAAACTGAAGGCTCATAACACCCATAGGGCTTTACTCCAGTGTGTACCATCTAATGTACAATGAGCTGTGACTTGAATGTGAAGGCTTTCCCACAGTCAGTACAGACATAGGGTTTCTCTCCTGTGTGAGTTCTCTGATGTACCATAAGATTTGACTTTGTATTGAAGGYTTTCTGACATTCACTGCATTCATATGGTTTCTCTCCTGTGTGTTTTTTTTTAATTTTTTTTTAGAGAGAGAGAATTTTAATATTTATTTTTTAGCTTTTGAGAGACACAACATCTTTGTTTGTATGTGGTGCTGAGGATCGAACCCGGGCCACACACATACCAGGCAAGCGTGCTACCGCTTGAGCCACATCCCCAGCCCCTGTGTGAGTTTTTTGATGTATAATGAGCTGTGACTTCAAACCAAAAGCTTTCCCACATTCATCACACCCATAGGGTTTCTGTCCTGCATGACTTCTCTGGTGTGAAATGAGCTGGTATTTCCAATTGAAGGCTTTCCCACATTCATGGCATTCATAGAGGCTCTCTCCTGTGTGAATCCTCTGGTGTATAATGAGTTGTGAATTAAAACTGAAGGCCCTCCCACGACTACTGCACTCATGGAGTTTCTCTCCTGTGTATGTCCGCATGTGTATAATGAGGTAGGACTTTCTCCTAAAGGCCTTCCCACACTCATTACATCCATATGGCTTCACTCCTATGTAACTTCTCTGATGCACAATGAGCTGTGACTTCAAACTGAAGGCTTTCCCACACTCATTACAACCACAGGGCTTTACTCCGGTGTGTACCCCCTGATGTAAATGAGCTGTGACTTGAATGTGAAGGCTTTCCCACAGTCAGTACAGACATAGGGCTTCTCTCCTGTGTGAGTTCTCTGGTATACCATAAGATTTGACTTTGTATTGAAGGCTTTCTTACATTCACTGCATTCATATGGTTTCTCTCCTGTGTGAGTTCTTTGATGTATAATGAGCTGTGACTTCAAACCAAAAGCTTTCCCACATTCATCACACCCATAGGGTTTCTGTCCTGMATGACTTCTCTGGTGTAGAATGAGCTAGTCTTTTCTTTTGCAGAYATTCCCACATTCACAACATTCATGGGGATTACTGCCTGTACGAATCCTCTGATGTGTGACATGTTGTGGAGTGAAACCAAAAGCTTTCCCATATTCACTGCTTTCATGTAGTTTCTCTCCTGTGTAGGTTTTATGGCATTCAATGAAGTATGCCTTACTACTGAAGTCCTTCCCAAATCCACTGCATTCACAGATTTTCCCTTCCACAGGAGTTTGCTGATGCACTACAAGGTATGACCTGCTGCTATAGGCTTTCTCCCCATGATGCACCTGCTGGCAAATAAGTGGTGACTTCTTGTTCAGTTTTCCCAGATTTGTTATTTTCATATTATGTAATTCCAGTAACAGTTTGCTCATGCTTAGAATAAAATAATAATTCCCCCTGTATGTGAAACCCACTAGGATTCTTTCCAGCATAATTAGTATCATAGTTCATAATTAGTATATCATAGTTCAACATCTTTCCATGTGTTCCACAGTTATGAACATTGTCTTGAAGTATAACTTGTACTGAGAAGACACAATTCTCCAAATGAAGTACATTCAAAGCTTTTTGCCACGCTTGCCACCTTGCCTTGGTTCTCCTGTTGCCTCTCTGTATGATCACCAATCTCCCAGATTTTGTCTAGAAGTGAAAATAATTAGTCATGTTATAAATAAGAACATGATCCTGGTATGGTATACAACTGCAATAAAATTACCATGTCATAAGATTTTTAGTTTCAGACATCAGATCTTAAAAGAGAGATCGACTGCTATAAGAAACTAACAACAAATAAAGATGGTTTTGAATTCCAAGTTTTGTATAATGTAACAAAAACAAATCCACTCAAGGAACAGTGAGCATAATATAAAGAAGTTGTATGGGATCTTTAAGCATTAGTTTCATTCAACAAATACTGTATACATTTTATGTACCAAACATTGTGCTAAGCTCTGTAGAAATGGCAGAGAGCATTGCAGATTAGCTCATAATCCCTTTGGGAATAATGTCCCATAGAACACCTAGATCACATGGACCATCATCATGAAGCTACTTAGGATAAGGAGCAGTTCTTAAAGACTCCCAGAGGAACAACAAAACAAAGTTTCATACAATGGAACAAAAATTAAAATGGCATCAGACCTCTTATTAGTAGTGTTTGAAGACAGAAAACAGAACAACTGACAATACTGAGAGTGAAAATATTGTCAGATATATAAGGCTCAAAATGTCTATCACATGCACCCTTTCTCAGGAAGGAAGTGCTACTGAAGAAAGTGCTTCAATAACATACACCAAGAAGCCATGCAATGTGGCACATGTATATAACTCCAGCAACTGGGGAGACTGAGGCAGGAGGATCAGAAGGACCAGCCTCAGTAACATAGCAAGACTGAAAAAGAAATTAGGAAAACTATCTCATTCACAATATCCTAAAAAATAATATGAAACACCTGAGAATAAATGTAATGAAGGAATAGAAGAACCTCTAGCATAGAAGAAGGGAATTGAAGGGTTGAGGGAGAGGGAGAAAAAAATGAGATAAGGGACAATGGAATAAATCTGATCTAACCTTCCTATGCATATTTATGAATACATTACAGTGACTCACCATTATGTACATCCACAAGACACTAATTTAAAAATAAACTGTGAACAAAGAGCAGACAAATCAGTAGACTAGAGCAAAGGGAATGGGAGAAGGAAAGGGTGCTGCCCCCGACCTGCACGAGGAGCTGAAGTTAAGGTCGCCTGTGTGAATTTCTAGGTACACCAAATAAAACACAGACACACATTTTACCTTAAAACAAGCTTCTGGAAGGCTTCTCCGCTCTCAGCCTCAGGCTCCCAAAATGGGAAAGCAAGAGAAAGTCACAAGAGGCTGGTGAGAGAGAGAGAGAGCACGTTCAGAAGTGGGCTTTTATTGCAGGAACTCTTGTTCTTTGAAAGTTCTATCCAAAAAAGGCCAGAAGGGGCAGGGTTACAAGGACCAGGTTAGTGTAATTCAACCTCAGGGGTGACATCTACATCTGAAGACACGCCTTCTACTTTTTGAGCTGGGACAACGCCCAAGACACCACGAAATGTAGTGATCGGTCAGAAGGCATGGGTCATTCAGAGTGGCTCCCCACAAAAGGGTAAATACTTGGCAGTGAGTTATAGCAAAATATATTCCATGCTTTTATTACTTGGTCAAAATTAACCCCAATGTTATGTATAGTTAATATGAACCCAAAATGGACTAAGAAGGTTTTAAAAGTTACAACACATGAGCAGGGGAGTTGCTCAGTGGTGGAGCACTTGCCTACCATGCACAAGGTCCTGGGCTCCATCCCCAGCATTACGTGTACACACACACACACACACACACACACACACACACACCCCTCAGAGTTACAACATACAAGAATAAAGGAGGGGCTGGAGTTGTGGCTCAGAAGTGGAGCACTTGCCTAGCATGTGTGAGGCCCTGGGTTCGAGCCTCAGCATCACACAAAAATAAATAAATAAATAAAGGTATTGTGTCCATCTACAACCAAAAAAATTTTTTTAAAAAAAGAAAAGAAAAAAGAATACTCAAAGACCCCCACAGACATAGAGGAAAGAGCAAGAGAAGACCTGAGGGGAATGAGGACTTGGAGGAACAGCATGAAGACAGGCTCCATGGGGTGGGGGACTGAAGTGGGAAAGGGGACAGGCTTCATATGATGCTAGATGTGCTTAGAGGGTGACAGGAGCATGTTAAGGCAACCAGCAAGGCCAACCTAGAAGGCGAAGATTCCCCAACAGTTTACAAAGAGAAAAAGTTGGAACTGCACCTGTTGAATTTAAGCATAAACTGTGTGTGTGTGTGTGTATATGTATATGTATATACACACACACACACACACACACACACAAGTATGCATGCATGTATAAAGGACAGAGAGGAAGCCACGCCAGTAAGCGGGGGAGAGGAACCTTGCTTACATGAGTAATAAAGTGAGAATATCATCAATCAAGCAAGAAGGGAATGGAGGGTGCCAAGGAGGAGATTAATTAAGAGCATGACTGTGAAGGAGACCAAAACTGAATAGACAAGAGGGTGAGTCACATAGAGACTCACACCAGCTCTGAGAGAGAGGAGAGAGCACATCACCTCCATCACTGACCTGGGTGGCCTCGACTCAGGCTCTGAGTCTGCACCACACACAGCTCTGCCCCTTGTTCTAACCTGAAGACAACACCAGGTGTAGTGTGGATACGCTGTGAAGAGAAAACCATGCACTCAGGCAAAGGTCATTCAACCAATAAACTGAGACTGACTAAGGAAAGCTCTAAGTGAAGCCAACAACACAAAGAGTTCCGGCAGAGCAGTAGGGGAGGTGGCCTCAGGTCTATACTCACTCCCCTCAGGAAGCGGCACCTACCCAGGGACACCAGATTGCAGTAGTTCTCCAACATCATGCTCCAGTTCAGGCACTTTTACACTGGATCCAACAGCTGCCACTCCTCCCAGGAGAAATACACAAACATGTCCACGAAGGAGAGARGGGCCTAGCCATCCACTCAGATGGGGTGGGAGGACATTAAAAAAGTGAAGAGCCCAAGCCAGGAAAAAAAAAACTGAACAGACACTGAACACTAATGATACTGGTGAATCTGAAGTGCCAGACAAGCATGTGCTCACTGGAAACAGCCATTCAATTCTAGCCTGCATTTAAAATTCTTCCTAACAAAAATGTTGATGATAAAAAGCACTACCCCAGGTAAAATATGAATATGGACTTGTATCAAGTTTGATGTAAACTTTACTATACATGAATCAAAGACTCCCATAGAGATGAATAGTCTGATTTTTTTTTCCCTATCCTCAGATTGAACCCAGGGGTGCTCTACCACAGAGCCACATCCCCAGCCCTTTTCATTTTTTATTTTAAGACAGGGTCTCCCTAAATTGTCCAGGCTGGCCTCAAACTTGTAATCCTCCTGCTTCAGCCTCCAGAGTCACTGGGATGACAGGCATGCTCCATCATGCCCTGAGAAGAGTCTGATATTAATCATTGTAAATATGAAGACTCTAAAATAAAGAATGGGGGTGTAGTCTGAGATTCTGCATTTTTAACAGCTTCCAGAACAACACACACCTTACAAACACACATAAACAAAAGCATACTCTAAAACAGAATAATTTCAAGGTTTGGAAGGAGGCAGCAATCAGGTATGCAGACATAAGTGAATGTATGAATAAAGGTATAAAAAAGGTATGAGTGCACAAAGGCCACATGATGTGTAAAAGGTACCAACCAAAAAGTGACTGAGGCCAGGCATGGTAGTGTTCAAAGCCGGCCTCAGCAAAAGCAAGGCACTAAGCAACTCAGTGAGATCCTACCTCTAAATATAATTCAAAACAGGGCGGAGAATATGGCCCAGGGGTCAAGTGCCCCTGAGTTCAATCCCTGGTACTCCCCCCATCAAAAAAAAAAAAGGCAATTGACTCAGCCCACTGACCTAAGGATCTCCAGGCCTCCTCCATGGAAAACAAACAAAAAACAAAATATAAAGGGAGGAAATGAAATAGACAAGCAAGCAACTCACCCAGGACTTGGTGGTTTCTAGCTGTTCCTGGGAAATAAACAGCCACTCTAGGACCTTCTCTGTCCTGGGGCTCTTCTGCCTCTGCCCAGCTGCTCCCAGGAGAGGCCTCTAGTCGGGGGTCCCTTGGAGAACAGGATCCTGACCTTGATGCTCTCTGATCCCATCACATGAGTGGTCTCCTTCCTGGAGAGGAGGAACCTGTGGGCTCAAGAGAAGCTCACTTCAGCAAAGGTTTCCTTCCGGCCCCACCTCAATCTCCAGCTGGTGACTCCTGCCCACATGGAGGGGAGGCTGGGGTTCTGTGCACAGTAGTTGGCAGCAGCAGGGCAAGAACCAGAATGCATATACGGAGCCCAGCACATTGATGGCAGTTCCACCAGCTCCCGMACAGCCTAAAGCCCTGGAAATGCAACAAACCACCAGGTTCACTGGATATTTACAGGACTGCGAGGCAGCAAGGTAAATGAGCATGGCTGCCAAATGCTCAGGGACATCCCACAAGATGTTCTGGACCACACGTGTCAGTCATGGCCAGCCCCTCCCACCATCTGATGCTATAACAGTTCACCTCTTGAGGTTTTGGGGGTTTTGTTTGTTTTTTGTTTTTATTTATTTATTTATGGGGGTTGTTTATTTTTGTTTTATTTTGTTTTTGGTAGTTGCAGGTGGAGAGCATGTCTTTATTTTATTTATTTATATATGGTGCTAAGGATCTGATCATCTGAGACCACAGGGAGCTGAGAAATTGATAAGCAGTTACTTCCAGAGCACAGATTCTCAGTCTAAGGGAAAGTTACTGGAAACAGAGACCAAAATGAAACAGAGAAGCAAGAGAGAAAAATAGACTCAGGGGAGGGAGGGAAAAGTGGAGGGGGCTCAGAGTGGGGCACAGGAGAGAAGGGAGAGACAGGATTTAGATGGAGAGAGAGGATCCAGCGGAGGCTTACCCAGAAACAATCTGAACAACACGCAGCATGTGAATATGAGAGAAAATGCACCAGAACACAAGGCACGTCCAGCCCCACAAGAGACGGGATCAGGGCAGGAAAAAGCCTCCTGGCAGGGACAGCCTTCGTGGTACAGACAGAGGCAGGAGCCTCTGGTAGTGAAGCAAGATCTGGCCCATTCCAGACCCCAAAAGAACAGCCAAAAAACACCTTATTTGAACTTCTTTGGTTTTAAAAGAACCAAAGAAGGCTCATAGACAGGAAAAACACATCCAAAATATCTGACCCTTTTGTACATGCACATAAATTGTAACCTAGTGTTTTAGAAGTTAAAATTAGGAAAACAAAAAGAAAGGACAATCATAAATAAAGGACCTAGAAGGCAGATGAAGAATGTGAAATAAGAAATATGAGAACTAAGAAATGAACTGGGGAAAAAATGAGAAACTAAGATCAAATTAGGAAGAACAAAGTGAGGCTGGGGTTGTGGCTCAGTGGTAGAGCGCTTGCCTCACACGTGTGAGAYACTGGGTTTGATCCTCAGCACCACATAAAAATAAATAAATAAATAAAGAGTTGTGTSCATCTACAACTAAAAAAAAAACTAAGAAAAAGGAAGGAAAAATTCTGCAGAAACCAGAGGGCAGCAAAGGTGAAAGTGAAGAAAGCCTAAAGAAGTAAGGACAGAGTAAAACCATCCAGAGAAGCAATGAAAATGACTTCTACAAAGACTGTTCACAGGTTGGTTTGTTTTGTTATTGCTGCTGTTTTTCTTTTGCCATCCTGGGAGCTCTACCACTGAGCCCCCTGCACTCCCCCTTTTTTAAATTTTTGAGACAGTGTTTGGCTAAGTTGCCTAGTCTGGCCTCCAACTTGAGATCCTCTGCCTCAGACTCCTGAGCAGGTGTGCCCACAGTGCCAGCATTAGGGTGCACTTTAACTTCCAAGTATATGGACTCTAGTATTGAGAACTCAGTGTCTGGAGTCTAACTGCCTCTGGCAACCTACATGCTGTGAACATAGCAAACCACTTTACGCATCTTTGTTGAAATTTCCTCATCTATAAGAGCAGTTAGCATTAGTACCTTCCTCATGAGGCTGCTGCGAGGATTAAAGCTAATATGTGTAAAGTGCTCAGACCTGGCCAGGTATAGAGGCCACACCTGTGCTCCCAGCTACTTGAAAGGCTGAGGCAGGAGGGTCTCAAATTCCAGATAAGCCTGGGCAGCTTATCAAGAAAGGCTTACCATTTAGTTCAGTGGTAGTTCAGTGCATGCCTAGCATGCAAGAAACCCTGGGTTTGATCTCCTGCACAAAAACAAGGAAGGGTGCTGCGCCCCTCCCCTGACTCAGGCAATGGCAAGGCCCTACTGAGGTGGATGGCTGTAAGGTGTCCATCCTCTGGAGGAGCGCAGTATGTTTCTGGTAATGGGCTGGTTTGCTTTTGTATTCCTTTAATAAGTATAGTTGCGACTTCTCATATGACCATTAAGTATGAAGGAAAAAACATGACTTTCCCAATTAATGCAACTACTTCTAAAGAATAAATCTGTTTACTCTAAATGCAATGATTTAGCTGTGGAACGTAAATTGTTAATGTTTAATGAAAATCCCCCGTAGGAAAAACAGTCAAGGAAGTTTTTGAGAAATTAAATTAAAATCTAGAGAAGAAGAATTAATGTTAAGAAGACAGATTAGCACTTAGTACTGGGCAACTTGTTCTTATTACTGTGCACAATGGTTTGTGCTCTTGCTCTTGTTTGATTAAAATTAGTAGCCTCTCTTTTCAAGTTAACCACTTGCAATAACTGTGGCACCGATTCTAGTCAGTAAGTCAAGAAAGAATAGTCAAGGTATAGGCAAATAGTCTGGGACATTTTTAACTATTATTAAAAGCTAACTAAGCAGAAACAGCTCAAAGCAAAACTCGAACTGAAAGTAAAAATGCTTGCTTATGCATAAGCCAAGATTCATTCTTCTTATCTAATTGTAGCTATGTAATATTTCGTTTCTTTGAATGATTCCTGTTTTGTAACCACCAAGTACTGTGAGTCTGCCAAAATGAAAAGTATATATGATTAACTTCACAAGTAAAGATTGAGATTCAGCATCTTCACTTTTGTGTCTGTGTTGTTTCTCCACCCCCCTTTCGCGGACTCCTCACCATCCATTCATCTCCTGAGAACCCCTGTTGGAAGTGGACTCCAACAGAAGGGGGCTGCCAAAGTAGATCAAAGGTAAAGAACTTGCCTAGCATCTGGGAGGCCCTGGGTTCAATCTACAGTACTACCACCCCCTGCCAAGAGTGCTTTGACCTTACACTATATATATGTTGATTAGCATACTGACATTGTAAAGCTCTCTTTATCTAAGTCCTCTACACATCTTAAATTGAATGCAATTTTATCCTTTTATTTCAATGGCAAGTAACATAACTTCTTTCATATACTTTCTGAATAAATACCATCTGCAAAGAGTAAATCTATTGATTTCAAACAGATTTCATACCATCTTGGTATGAAACCCAAGATCCTGGTGGTTCCCCACAAGCTGTTTCATCCCATCACAGCAGAGCATCTTAACCAAGTCTACGCCACCGTCTCCACTGCCCCAAATTCCATTTCTGCACCCAACTGTGCTCCTCCCCCTTCACACTTTCATCACCCTCCCCACCTATCATGCACACACACCTGCATTCTCCTCTAGAAATATTACTAGAAACACCACCATCCATCACCACTAAATGCAATTTAGGATTCCATGACCACTGTGGTTTAAATGTTTGTGTTCCTCCAAGTTTCATGGTGAAACAATCCTTACTGAGGTGGACTAAGAGGCGAAGCCTTCTGGGAAAGGATCAGGTCACAAGAGCTCTGCCCTCATGAGTGGGACTAATGCCCTGTAAGAGAGCCTTCAGAAAGCTGCCTGCCCTTCCACCTCTCCTGCCAGGCAAGGGCACATGCAGCCCTTTTTACCATCTGCACCACATGAGGACACGTTAAGGCTGCACCACCTTGGAAGTAGGGAACAGCCCTCAACAGACACTGAAATGCTGGCACCAGGATCTTGGTCTTTCCAGCCTCTAGAATCATGACAAAATTTATTTCTGTTCTCTATAAATTACCCAGTCTGAGGCATTTTGCTATAACAGCACAATGGACCAAGATAATGATCTAATATTACTTGATCTCCCTGGGGCAGCTCAGGGCAGCAACCATTTTTTTCAGGCTTCCCTTTCTTTAACACTGGAACACAAGTCTCTCCTTATTCTCTCATACTTTTCTTGGGCTCTGTCTCATCTCTACCACTCTTTCCTTGACTTCCCTTGCTATTGCCCTAAGCACTGTTCTCCCTGAGCAATCAGTGGAACTTTCTCTTGAGATGCACACCTACCCACCAGCAACTGCCACCAGAAATCTAAACACCCCTCCCAAGAAAAACCAAGAGTCTTCCCTTCCACCTGGTCTGGTGCAACCATAAACGCAGGCCCACAGACCAGAGCTCCAGCCTCCTTCCTGGCCTTCTGACTCTCTGTCCACCAGTACTCAGCTACTTATCAAATGCAGTACCTTGTGCCCCTACCTCCTCTTCTCAAAACCACTAGTTTATTTAGTGTTCTCTTGCCAGCTGCAGACTCTTCCATTTAAAAATCCTCTGTGTGAAAAGCCTAGGTGCTTCTGAGCAGCCTGTGTCCCTGAGATCTGTGGTGCCTGGAGGTTCCTCGAGAAATCACAGGGTCACCAAGGAAGACAAAAATGATCTCAGTGACTTTTGAGGATGTGGCTGTGAACTTCACCCAGAAGGAATGGGCTTTTTTGGATCTTTCCCAAAAGAACCTTTACAGAGATGTGATGCTGGAAGTCCTCAGAAACCTGGCTTTTATAGGAAACAAATGGGATGAAGAGAACATTGAAGATAAGATTGAAAGTTCTGAGACCATTCTAAGGCACATCACATCTTACTCTGGACAAAAATGCTACAAGCATGAGGAATGTGAAGAGAAGCCACGTGAATTTAAACAGTACAGGCAATCCCTGGATTCTCTCAAAAGTGTTCACACACAAATGTTAACACAAACTGTAAATGGACCATATGAAAGTACAGTAYGTGGGAAAGTCTTCAGTTGTTCCAGTGACATTCAAAGGCATGAAGACACTCATACTGGGTGGCAACCCTATGAATATCAACAATGTGATGAAGCCTCTTCTACTCCCACAGGTGTTCAAAGACACATGAGAACACACAGTGGAG